ATCAAGACCGACGAAAAGCGGTTCTATCTCTTCTTCAACGAGTTCCGACTGGAGACCCACGTCCGGAGAGGACCCGAAGAGTCGATAAATGACAGAAATGACCGAGCTGTGCGAACAGTGGCCAAGTGGTATGCCGAACATCTCAAGACCACGGTGAAGAAGGGGAAGAAGAACGACATTCCGGCTATCGTTGTCATCACGGACGACAAGGAAAACTTGCGCAAAGCAAAGGAGGAAGATGTGACCGCATTGTCACTGTCAGACTATGTGTCTGGCTTGGAGGACTCGGATAGGCTACTTGATATGATCAACGAGTCTCGGGAGGCAAGGGAAGCGAAGGGCGCACGCGGCGAACTTTTCTACCCCGAATACTACTCGATGTCTAAGCTTATGACCGGCATCAGAGCTGGAACTTTGCACCAGGGAGTCTTCAATGTTTCACCTTACAACTATTTGGAGGGCTCTGTCAATGTTCCGGCGTTCGACAAGCCCTTGCTCATTCTGGGTCGTGATAACAGTAACAGAGCCATCTCTGGGGATGTTGTTGTTATTGAAGTACTTCCCAAGGACCAATGGAAGTCGCCATCTACCAAGATTGTCGATGAGGAGGCGGTCACCAAGAACGACAACCCTGATACCGATGATACCGAGGCAGTGGTGTCGGAGAGAGAACGGAAGGCCTTGCAAGAAGAGGTCAGGAAAGCTCATGGGAAAAGCTCGGAGGGAAAGCCGCAACCGACAGCCAAGGTTGTTGGAGTCATGAAACGAAACTGGCGTCAATATGTCGGACATGTCGACGCCGGTTCGGCAGGTGCTCAGGCTAGCAGCGGTCGCCGTCAGCAGACCGTCTTCGTCCTCCCTATGGACAAGCGTGTACCAAAGATTCGAGTCCGTACTAGACAAGCTGGCGATCTTATGGGTCAACGTATTCTTGTCACCATCGACGCCTGGGATCGCGATTCCCGATACCCCACCGGCCATTTCATTCGCTCACTAGGAGAACTGGAGACTAAGGGTGCGGAGACAGAGGCGCTGCTCCTTGAGTATGACGTTCAGTACAAGCCATTCCCGAAGGCTGTCCTCGACTGTCTTCCCGCCGAGGGTCATGACTGGAGGGTACCGGCTAGCAAGGATAATATTGGCTGGAAGGGACGGAGGGATCTAAGAGATCTCCTCATCTGCAGTATCGACCCCCCAGGCTGTCAAGATATTGATGACGCGCTTCATGCACGGCCATTACCGAATGGCAACTTCGAAGTCGGTGTCCACATTGCAGATGTCTCTCACTTCGTCAAGCCGAACAATGCAATGGACCTGGAGGCCAGTCTCCGTGGAACAACAGTATACCTAGTCGACAAGCGTATTGATATGCTGCCCCATCTTCTCGGTACAGACCTTTGTTCCCTTAAGCCCTACGTCGAGCGGTACGCGTTCTCCGTCTTGTGGGAGATGACGCCCAACGCAGAAGTGGTATCTGCAGACTTCACCAAATCGGTCATTCGCTCTCGTGAAGCCTTCAGTTACGAGAAGGCCCAGAAGCGCATTGATGATCCTACGCAGAAAGACGAACTTACCGAAAGCATGCGCACTCTGCTCCGCTTCTCCAAGATTCTCCGACAGAAGCGCATGGACGCGGGTGCACTGAACCTCGCCTCGCCAGAAGTCCGCATCGAAACCGACAACGACGAGGTGGGCGATCCTCTCACGGATGTTAAGACGAAGGCCATGCTCGAGACCAACAGTCTTGTTGAGGAATTCATGCTTCACGCCAACATTACAGTTGCTTCCAAGATCTACAGCACCTTCTCTCAGACCGCCATGCTCCGACGCCACGCCACCCCTCCCCCGCAAAACTTCGAAGAGCTTATCAACCAACTCACCAAGAAGCGCGACATGAGATTGGACGTGTCCAGCTCCCGTGCCCTCGCCGACTCCCTTGACCGTTGTGTTGACGAGAAGAACCCCTTCTTCAACACCCTTGTCCGCATTCTCGCCACCCGTTGCATGACATCCGCAGAGTACTTCTGCGCGGGGGCCCACGCAGAGTCCGAATTCCGTCACTACGGTCTAGCCTCACCCATCTACACGCACTTCACCTCCCCCATCAGACGTTACGCAGATCTTCTAGTCCACCGCCAACTCGCATCAGCAATTGGCTATGAGGGCGAAGATGGCCGCGCCGTCGTAGAGGGAGTGATGACCCGGAACAGACTCGAAGATATCTGCCGGAACATCAACTACCGTCATCGCAATGCCCAATTCGCCGGCCGCGCCAGCATCGAATACTACGTCGGACAGGCACTCAAGGCACGCGGAGAGAAGATGGCAGCCGATGGCGTGGACGGCGGCATTGAAGAGGAGGGCTACGTCATGCGTGTTTTCGAGAACGGCGTTGTTGTATTCGTTCCGCGATTCGGTATCGAGGGCGTGGTACGCTTGGAGGATTTCGTCCTTCCGGATGACGCTGCCCTCCGCACCGTCGACGAGCGACGGGAGCTGGTGACGCGCCGACAGAGCGACTTCGATATTGAAGAGTACACTCTTCGCGTTTCCAACAAAGGAAACGCCGAGTCGGGGCCCAGCATGTCTGTGGAACTGTTCCAGAAGGTCAATGTCAACGTTAGCTCTGTCAAGGAAGAAGGTGGTCGCGGCGCAGGAAAGAGGCGGGTTAGAATCCTGATTTTGGGAAGCGATGCCTAAACTGGAGATTAAAGTTACTAAAATAATGACATGACTACAATCTTTCTGGTTTGCAATATCTACCATGACTAGAAGACGTCTATCGGTGCTTTATGTAGGATCATTGTATGTATGTATGTATGTATGCCTTTATGTACTTCTATGCTAGTCTCGAATGGTAATCTAGACATCCTATGCTCTCTAGTCTAGTCTCTTGTAGCGTCTTCTTCCTTCTCATCTAGACTGATCATACTCTCCTCAAGGCCACCATCTGACGCAGCAAATGAAATGGCGCCCAGAGTTGAGTCTCCTTCACTCCTGATGCGGGTATCCCAGGTGAAGGATCATATTCTTCTCCCTTCTGTGCAGGTTCCTCCTCATCTTTCTTCTCTATTCTACCGGGAACCATCATACCAGGAGCCGCCCCCTCCTTCTTCTCAGACCGCACAAGCTCCCCTATCTTCCATCCTCGCACGAGCCACAAACACGCCGCACCACCAATGTACATGAACCCCGTAAAGATCTGCACTCTCAGATACACCGAGTCGGTAGATCCATTATCCCTCAGAACAAGCGCAATAGCCTCCGACACGGTCGTGGGAGGTACCAGGACCAGCCACGTAATGCTCAACCCACTAGGGAGGTCTCGCAGACCGATAATCTCCGCCAGCACAGGGGTAACGGTCGCCCAGTAGGTTCCTGCAACAGTGCCGACGAGGACAGCGAAAAAGCAGACCACGCCCATACTGCGAGCGAAGATCCAGATTACCAGACAGAACAAACCACAGAGGAATGTTAGGAACGTGGCGATGTTGATCCGACCTAGCTTATCACTGAACATGCCCACGATGGGGCGCCCGAGGCCCTGGCCGAGGTTAAGCAGGGCGCTGACAATACTGCCCTGGTGGGAGGAGAGACCGACGGAGAGGGCGAAGTTGGCGAGGCTGAAAAGCACGGCGACGTAGCCTAGCATGCTGAAGATGCCCCATCCTAGAAAGAGGAGGAATTCGGGACGCTTGAGTAGGGGTAGGGAGAAGGCATGGTGGCGGCTTCCGATGTCCTTGTTTCGATCTCTGAGGAGGTTCGCGCATACTAGGTTGACGACGCATGCGATGATTCCTAGGATTCGGAATGCCCAGCTTAGGCCGAGTCGGGGGATCATGGCGCCAACGGCTAGGGAGTAGATTAGTCCCCCTATGCCGGAGCCGGCTGCATTGATGCCCATTGCCAGACTGCGACGGCGGTGGAACCATTGAGGGGTTATGCCTACGCTTCCGACGAAGAGGAAACCCATTCCCCAGCCGAAGCAGACGCCTTGGCTAAGGAAGATGTGCCATAGTTCGGTAGCGAAGGATGAGCCGATTAGGGAGAGGGTTTCGAAGAAGACTCCGAGGTTTAGAACTAGGCGGGTTCCGCAGATGTGGATGAGATGTGTGGCGAGAGGAGCTACTAGGAGGGCACAGGAGATGCTCAAACCGCCGGTGAAGGCGTAGGCCAGGGCAGAACCGTTGGCAAAGACATTGTGCGAGAGGTAATAGGAGAGAAAGACGCCGTAGCTCTAGATCTCGGGACGAGTGCGTGTGTGTGTTAGTCCTTGTATCGGAGCAAATAATCTGGAATAACCAACGCTGTTGATTCCCCACGTGTGCGCATTGATCCAGAAGACGCAAGCGACACAAATCCAGCCATAGCCACCGTCTGGTACGACGTCTTGCTCATATTTGGTCTCCGCATCTTTGGGAGCCGAATCCTGTTGTTGTTGCTCCTGTACTTGCGACAGGGGATCTAGATTTGGAGTCTCATCGTAATCTCGAGAATGGATGATGTCGATTGGCGTATTATCTCCCATTTCGAGATAACTAAAAACTAAAATAGGTCAGGAGAATATAGCACGCTGCTCTAGACCACAGCTGTTAACTTCCAGGTACGGCATCGAGGACGCTATCGAACATTCACATGAAGCCTCCAGCAGTAGCCAAGAAAGTCAAGTGGTAGAGCAAAACAGAAGTCGAGCGGGGATAGAGATCGAAGAATCGCATGGCGCCGGTTTTATGGCAAGGGTCCAGGAAAACCGAAGGCCTAAAAGTGCCGATGTGTCATAGAGAGCCCGAAAAGAAACAAGATCCTCGGTCATACGAACCAGTTAGTGAGCCCTCGGCCATAAGCGGTTCGGTGATTAGTGCGAGAACTCAGTCTGTGACTGGTTTGTTGATTGGGTTTAAATCCATCCAGGATTGAGGAAGATAGCGCCCATGGGTCCAGTTAGCGCAACCGTCGTGCCGATTGACCCGTGCGGAGTCCGGGGGAACACGAGGCGGTCCACACATGAGAGTAAATTGGTTTGAGCTGCAGGCTCATTTGAAGCTGTTAGATAGATCTGTTGGCGATAGATCAACTGTGTAGTATGTTTGATGCTATGTGTTCAGGTATTCCGTATGGGTCCTCGGACATCCATACATGTGCATGCTCCTGCCTTAAGCTACTAGTAGCTAACGTTGGGGAAGTGCGTGATAAGGACTGGCAGTACCCATGTTTTATCCTTGTAGCACTATGGATTATTCCTTATGGCAGAATATTTAATCCCATGTCACATTAGCAGCTCCCACCAGCTTCAATCAAAGAAGGACACAGCTGCTTACGATTTCATCACTTGCTGCCACAATATTTGTACGCGCCTCATGTTGGTTGGATAGATTTCTACGCTTGCAGTGTTTGTTACTATTCCCAGCAAGCATATTTTGACTGTTCGGACTGGTTATATGCCCCGAATGGCAGGCACCTTGATTGATTGTCCTCTTATGCTGAAAGGTTGAGAGGCTTTGTTACTTCCGTCGGTAGTAGAGTGAGACGGACTCGCTAAGGTATTGATGCTGTGTACCAGACAATGTAGCCTTCACATGAATCTGTACTTGTTACTAGGGCAGTAGCATCCACTGAAGAAGAGTTGGCTGTACCTAGACAGGTTACACAGACGCATACTGCGAGGCATAACTCGATCTAAGGGATCCAACGACGCGAACTGGTCAATGTGTCCTATCCAAAGCTGCATAATTGACCCACAGTTATTTTTGCATTGCCACTTCCCACCCATGCAGACGGACATATAACCCGTTCATTTCAGAGGGAGCAGATAAGAGGACTAAATGCACCCAGTACTACTAGTAGGGCTCTATCAGACTTGAGCCAGTTATCCAACGTGACTACCAAAAGAGGAATAGCCTGTGGGATGCAATGAGTCAGCACGGCCCCGCGTTGCCTTGAGAACCGGAACCTGATGTTTGCAGTGTTTGGTTGGGCGCTTTGTTGTCCCTCGGCGGGAGGAATTGTTGGCCATAGCTTCTGTCCGTCTTGTCTTTCCCATCGGTACCCCTGCCTGTCACTCAGTACTAACTAGTATCCATGAGCTCATTGAAACTAATCATTATTAACTACTCACTAATTACTACCTCTGACGCCGCGCTAACTCTCTAACCCTGTAAGAACAACGCCTTATCGCTCTCAAGCAAGGAAAGCGGATCTAGTTGGGCAGATCCGATCTCTCTAGTTGATTCCATACCTGGCCCACTGCCCAGCCACCCATTTGAATCTCATTGGCTCTATTCGATTATATTAGACACTTACTTCATAGCTCTGCGACTGAGAGCCAACTCATCATCCTACCCCTTCCTGATATCCCCCTCTCCCTTGGTATGATCTCTCAGGTTCAACCTCCATGGCCAGTATGATGCATAGGCCTCAATTTCACAAGGCCAGGGACGGCCAGCGCAAGGTCTCGCCTCCCGGTCCAACTTACATGTCCAATGATCAGATCGGTACGTGTTTACGCTGCTGCGATGTTGAGTCAGAAGCATTGTCTGCGCTTTCCGAGGGTGTTGGCCGAGCGGCCGGCTGTGGGTTGACCTGGCAACATTTATTAATTCCTGGCGTAACAGCGACCTATCTGAAAGATCTGCGGACGAATCGTCCTGCCCGCCCCGGCGGATCCAGGCCGCTTCCTTCGAGATCAACTGGATCGTCCTCTGACACTCGGGAGGATCTCCCTCCACGAGCAGCGTCTGCAATGTCGTCGTATGGACATTCGTATATGCACTCGAGCACACCAGCAGCTGAGACCGAGCATCCTCGGGCCACCAGCTCACTTTCTAACCATAGGCCAACTTCATCTCGGGGCACAATGGGCAGCCCTATCGGACGACCGTTGGTCCAGGAACCAAGAACAGTCCCCGTACGGCAGCATATCTCACCCACTCGAGCCTACAGCCGCGCTCTTCCTACCTCCCCAAGCGCCGCTTATCGTGAAAGCCCGCAACGGCGTATAGAGAAGGAAGAGGCAAAGTCCTTGCGAGATGCCTTACAACAGATGGACCTGGAGGATGACGTCGAGCTCCATGCAGCTGCACAAGATGAAGCTACCGAGCTGGTGTGGATGCACCAGAACCCCGGTGTTCCCTATAAGAACCCATATGCACCATACCACAATCCCGATTTGGACACGCTCCAGAAAAGCCCAGATAGGAATAGTCAGTATTCGCGTGGCGAGAGGCTGGGCTCTCCTACTCCACGACGGGGCAGTCGTCGTCTTGCCTACCAGGGATCGACTATAAGCTACAACGGTCCTAGCAGCATCCAAGAGTCGGACGAAAGCCCGGCACATGATGAGCAGGAGTCTGCCATTGGAAGGGATATTCCCAGCCCTAAGAAGAACGGGACTCTACGGAAGAACCTCAAAGTCAACTTTGCGTTGCCGCGGGACGAAGTGTCCACCCCCCAGAATACCAGCAGCAGCCATGGGCTGGGCTTGGCGAATATCGGTAGAGATTCATCCAAAGGCATCTTTAGGAATCCAAACGACCAGATATACGAAGAGCCTCAGCTTTCGCCTCAGAAGGACGAGAACACTCGGCCGGACTTCTCAAGGTCGGACTCTTCGGCTTTGAGAAATAAGCCACGCAACGCTCTTCCTCGCGGTTCTCGTCCTCTACCTAGTCGGTTCAGTAGCCTTCCTTTTGTGGACAAGCTGGCTCGCTTCGAACTTCATAAGAACCCTCCAAGCCAGTCAAGGAATCCAGAGTATAGAATGAACGACCCGCTCCCACAACCTCCTACGGCAGGCTCTGAGGTTGAGGAGCAAGAGTCCCCTATGAAGAATGGCCTAGAAATCCGCAGCGATGACATTCGAGCAGCTACTAGCAAGAAACTCAAAGATCGGAGCACTCGCCTACCGATGCCAACCGCTGTGAGTGATCGTGCTGGTCGGCCGATCGTGAGTTTCGATCCGACTTGGAAGCCAACTGAGGCGCAAAGCCCGCGCAATCGAGATAGCTTCAAGGGAAGGGATGCAACGCCGGACGTGCCTTCTCCCGAGCCTGCTGCTCCCACTATTGAGGTATCCGAGGCACCGTCAATCCCAGTTATCAACTTGCCAGACGACAAAGAGCCCACTATCTCTGAGATGGCAGGACCATCCCAGAACACAAGTACTGGTGGAAAGTCACCGTCAAGCCCACCCAAGAACAACGAAGCTCCCAGGCGATCCCCGAGAAAACCCACTGCAGGGTTGCAGAGTCGGTGGCTATCCACCTATAGCCGCTCTGGCGTTCCCACCGCAACATGCGAGGCATGTTCTCTTCCAATCTCAGGGAAGATTGTGACCGCTGCGGGTTCACGTTTCCATCCCGAGTGCTTCGTGTGCCACCATTGCCAAACTGCTCTGGAGTGTGTTGCATTCTATGAGGAACCTGAAGTGAAACGCCAAGAACGTCTCGCGCAGGCTTCCAGCGATGATGAAGAAGCCCATGGACTGAGGTTTTACTGCCACCTTGATTTCCATGAGCTATTCAGTCCAAGGTGCAAGAGCTGCAAAACCCCGATAGAGGGAGAAGTGGTCGTTGCTTGTGGAGCTGAGTGGCACGTCGGGCACTTCTTCTGTGCCGAGTGTGGTGATGTAGGGTCTTCCCCTCTATTTTGTAATCGATGACTGCTAACATACCTCTTCTAGCCTTTCAACGCAGACACACCTTTCGTAGAAAAGGATGGCTTTGCATGGTGCTTGCAGTGCCACTCCCGTCGCACAGCTCCTCGGTGCCTTGGATGCAAGAAGCCAGTGCTGGAGGATGTTGTAATAAGTGCAGTTGGAGGGCAGTGGCATGATGATTGTTTTGTCTGCCACGAGTGCGGGGATGGATTTGGTCCCGACGGTCGTTACTTCGTCCGAGAAGGGGAACCGAGAAAGACAGCCAAGGGACGCATTATCGGCGGGCCGGTCCAATTGGCTGTCTGTGAAAGATGTGAAGGTATTCGGTTGAAGGCGTCGCCGTGATGTGGGTATCTGTCGGATGATGGATCTCCGGGGTCTGAGGCTCCAACAACTGATGACTGACGCCAGTGACATGATCATTGTGGCCATCTGCATAGAGTTGAGCGCAGTGCGCTTAACAAGTTGCATCATCCAAAGTTATACGGCCATTGTTTTTCCATATACGTCTCCAAGTTTGTTTTTTTCCTATTTGGTGCAACCTGTGAATTGCATAGCATCCAGCGGGAGTCTACGATAGCGTACACTTTAGGTGAACTTATGACAGTGAATGGTTTAAAAGACACATTTTTTTGCATCTTGCTAGCTGCAACCACAAAGAACCTCTAATCTGAAGGCTCTAAGTACTAATCCAGGCTGCCTGCATGGTTTTAGAGCCGAACCAGGGCTATTCCGGAAAAGGAAGGCTGACTGTCTTGTCATCTCGGCTCGAGGCTTCTCTCCGTCTCGCGGCAACTTGCCTGCGAGGGTGTGATTCCTTTGAACTAGCCTTCCCCATTTCCTAGATGGGCAACTAGGCAGCTTGACTTTGGCAAGATTCCCGTGTCATACGAGTGCCTCGAGTCGAGGCACCTGGATCTAGTTCGGCAAGACGGAGACGCTTGGATGTCAACCCCAGCTTTGCGGGGGTTCCCGAGCTTTTGCGGGGATCGTGTCTCCATTGCCGTCATCGCATCAAATTCGCATGTACGACCATCTATAGATTGATACGGCTCTTGCGCGGGGATCGGGAGATCTAGCTGCTGCAATATCCTTCGGATGACGTCTGATCCATGTCGAACAATGGCAGCTACAGCACCATATCGTTTCCCTGTTCGCAATGCCGGCATAGGCGTTGTGCCCTGAGCGGGCAGCATAAATAACCTGCAAGGAGTCGATGGTCTGGTGGTTGACATGTAGGCAGACCTGTCGGACTAAATATTGCCAACTCTTCATCTCTCAATGACACTTTCCCTCTATTAGTCTCTTTAATCATTGTTCAAACCAGTCCCTAATGGCAGAAGATTCGGATTACAAGCTCAAGTGTGATGCCTCTCTCTCAGAGGAAATAGAGAATGTGATTACCTCGCCTTTCTCTGCCGAGGAGGAAAAGGCCCTCGTGCGGAAGGTTGATCTGACTTTGCTTCCAACAATATGGATCATGTACCTGCTCTCCTACATGGATCGGACCAAGTCTGTGCCCCCAATCCTTCTACACATTGCTATAATTGCCTAACTGGTCTTACTATATCAGTATCGGTAACGCAAAGATCTCGGGTATGCAGGAGGATCTGGATTTGACATCCGACCAATATTCAATTGCTCTGGTTGTCTTCTTCATCGGATATGTTGTCTTCGAAGTTCCCAGCAAGTACGTTCCACTTCAATAACCGGGGATTCTCACACGCCAGTGCTGACCGTTACTCAACTACCTAGCTTAGTACTAAGCCACACGCGCCCATCGTTGTTCCTGACTGGTATCATGGTCATATGGGGAGCTCTAACCTGTGTGATGGGCGTGATAAAAGATTACAAACACCTTGTGGTATTGCGCGCACTGATTGGTAAGGCATCTTACTGACTTGTCCGTGGTGATAGTATGTTTATAACTTTGGCAGGCTGTGTTGAAGCGGGCTTCGCACCTGGTGTCCTTCTTGTCCTCTCGTCCTGGTACAAACGGACGGAACAATCGAAGCGATTCGGTGTCTACATATCTGCTGCAATTCTTTCAGGGGCGTTTGGATCTCTACTAGCGGCAGGTATTATCCAGGGTCTAGAGGGAGTTCAAGGAATAAGAGGGTGGAGATGGTTGTTCATCGTGGAGGGATCTGCAACTGTGGGAGTCGCGATCATATGTGCCTTCATTTTGCCGGATTTTCCGGCCACCTCTAGGCGCTTATCAGAACGAGAGCGACACGTGGCTATCGCACGGCTAGCGACAGACAATGTCACATCTTTGACCGAAGACAGCCCGGAGTTGTCACATTGGAATGCTGTTGTCGAGTCGGCTAAGGATTGGCGGACCTGGGGATTTGTGGTCGGATATATGGTATGGTAACCCCTCGGGCATACGCATGATGCCACAACTCTAACTTCAAAAAGGTCATAGTCGGCTCTAGCACACTTTCCTACTTCTACCCTACACTCGTGAAGGGCCTCTTCGGGGATTCATCCACTGAAAGGGTAAACTTCCTGACAGTACCGATCTACGCAGTCGCATTCGTCTGCACCGCCATCACCGCATACTTCAGCGACAAGATTCCCCAATGGCGAGGTCTTGTCATTGCTGGCTGGCTGAGTGCATCGCTAGCTTGTTCCATTGCAGTTTGTGTTGTATACAACTATACTGCACGGTATGTCCTTCTCGTACTTATGGCTGCCGGATTGTGGGCAACCAATGGAGGCACCCTTGCGTATGCGTCATCTGCATTTGCGAACATGCACCCGCAAGTAAGAGGCGTCAGCCTTGCGCTAGTAAATGCATTAGGGAATCTAGCCCAAATATACGGCTCGGTATGAACAATCTTGGGACTTTGTTGTTTGGCGTTCAGGTGACTAACTGGCAACAGTACTTGTTCCCTTCCTCCGACGGTCCGAAGTATATCATGGGGTTCTCGGTGATATCCGCAATGCTTGCTCTCGGAGTGGTTGTCTTTCTTGTGATACATGTCTGGTTTCGTCGACGTGCGACTGCAATCAGCCATACATGATGCTCCATGCTGGCCATGGGCTCTCTCATTGCAAGCATAGAGAAACGAAGTACCAACGACATGATGGAGACGATGTTATAGTTATTAGCCTGTGAAAGTACATTTATAAGCACTTGCTTTACGAAGCTAGCATTCGAGAGCTGTGTGTTGTTTAATAGTACTCCCTAAATTCGGGCCCTTTCCCTTCGAATAAACACAATTCCGAGCAATCAACGTCCAACACCACTCTGCTGCACTATAGAAGTCTCCTCCGAGCCAGACTCAGCCACTCTACAACGTGCCATCCCTGACATTGTAATATATACCGAAAGCAACACACCCACAAGACTATATGAGCGCATGTCAAAACAAAATATCATCCAAAACATGTATATAATAATTAACTTTTGTTAATCTCGCAAACAGAGAACATCCACGCCATAGATCTATACAAGCCAAAACAAGAAACACAGAAATCAAGCCCACTCCGGGTCCTCCTTCCTCCTAAACACAGCAACATACTTATTACCCTTATTCCTCGTAACCTTCTTCCCCTCCTCCGTCGCCTCCTTCATAACCTTCACACACTCATCCTTCTCCAACTCCTCCTCAGACACCCTCTCAAACAGCTCTTTAACCGTGGGTCCCTCATTCTCCGCCTCCTCAACCGCACTCTCATCCCGGAAATGTCTCAAAATCCAATGATGATACTCCTCCACATCCGTAATGGTGTACAACAGACCACCAGGGCGCAGCGCATATGCATACTCCGCATTCAAAGTCTCCGAGATAATGCGCGCCTTGTGCTTCCTCGCCTTGAAGTGCGGGTCCGGGAAACAGATGAAGATCTTCGACAGCTGGTGCTTGTTGAAGAAGTTCGGGAAGAACTTCATCGTGTTGCTCCGGATCGCCGAGATGTTCTGGTATCCTCCGGGGACGAGAGCCGCGCTGGCGTTCGGGTCGGGATGCGCCGGGGCATCGGTGGGAGTATCAGCGTCGGCAGCGTCGGCGGTAGGGGCAGGGGTGGAAGTCGAAGAGGTAGGTTGAGACTGTGATTGTTGTTGTTGTTTTTGCTGTTGTTGTGTCTTTTGTTGCTGGTGCTGTTGTTGCACGCGGAGAGCTTGGATACGGGTGTTTAGGTATTCGAGGACGGCAATGCGGATTTCCATACCTAAGATTAAAAGGTTCAGTTCGGTTCGGTTCAGATCATTTCACAATCCATGGCTTTGTGTGAGAAAGAAAGATGTAGATAGATATAACATACCGACCATCAATGTCTCCGGCAACAACCCCGCCAGACCGACAAGCAACCCACCAAATCCACATCCGATGTCTACGACCTCGACATCCTTAAGCAACTTTCTCGTTCCGATCAGGTTCGTCTGCGTGGCGTCGGGGTTCACGAAAGCAGGGAAATGCGACGCCCAGTCCATATGCGCTGGGCTGAGGGGACTAATACAAAGAAGAAAAGTTTAGCCCCGAGACTTTCATTTCATTCCATTCCACCACGCCCATTGGCCCTATTCACATGGCACAATGAGCAAGAAGTAACAACATACTAATTCAACTGATGATCCGAGAACGGATTCGCATGCGCCCGCTGACGATAGAACTTCTTCTTAGGGAGCTTGACATGGCCCACGGGGGCGGACTCATCCGGTTGCGCGACGACCGCTTCGGCGGCTTGTTTGCGGTACTCGGCGCGCTTTTGGCGCTTAGCGGGAGGTTGAGACATTGCGTATCTGAAGAATAATTGAGGGTGATAAGGAAAGTTGCGAGAAACTTGTTGGAGAAACCTATTGAGAAGGTGGGGGTGTGCGGTGCGGTGCGGTGCTGCGGAGGTTGCGGAAATTTCTAAGGCGGAGAAGTTACGTTAGTTCCATTAAGGTGGGTTGGGTTGTTGGCTGGCGGTAGATAATCTACTGACGTCCTTATCGATCACCACCGCTACAACTATCACCGTCAACGTTACCATTATCCAACCCATATTATATACCGAGTACTATTTGGCAACAGCGATCTACACACCTCAATTCTCTATCCCAATCATCGACAGACACAAACACCCACCACCAGAATGACAAGCGCAACAACGTCAACAACTACCACCCCACCCTTCCAATTCCCCCTCACGTACTCCTTCCCAGCCTTCTTCACCCCCCAACCCAACAGCACGACACGCACCTCGCAACTCCAGAAATGGTCCTCCCTGATCCAATCCTGGTGTCGGCACCACCGCGTCTACCGCCTATCGTTAATCGAAGCCATCGAGTCCCCGTTATTCCATAATGCGACGCTCCGGAAGCGCATATCCATGAGCGATGCGCGGGATATTCTAGACTGGATGGCGAAGAGTGAAGAGGAAGGAGGCGGAGGTAGGAGAGCGGAGTGGATTGATGGTGGGAGTAAGAGTGTGGCGTGGATTTGGTGGAAGAGGCCGGAGGAGTGGGCTGGGTTGATTGCAGATTGGGTATGTGTGTCTTTTATTCCATATCATTAGTTTCATCTGATATGTTGTGGGCGGTTGAGGGTTAAAGGAGGGATTGTGTGATTGCTGACTGCTTCATTTTGGTGTATAGGTGGAAAACACAGGCCAGAAGAATGTGGTGCTTACGGTTTATGAGTTGTTGGAAGGGGAGGCTACGATGTCGCAGGGTAGGTTGACTTGCTTTGCCTTTTTTGGTCATTGAGTAATGCTGGGATGGCATGATGGCTAACGGCTGGCTGGTTGGAATAGAATGGCATGGGATGGATCCCGATGCGATGCACAAGTCCCTCAACGTTCTCGTGAAACGGGGCAAGGCGCAAGTCTTCGGTAGCGAGGGCCAGGAGGGTGTCAAGTTCTTCTAAGTTAAGGATCGCGTAGGTCATCTGGCCTGATTACAGCATGCGGTCGGCTCGTGGCTCCATTCGAAAGCAATGTCCATTGGCGACGCTGAGAATACGGCAACTATCTTCATGATAAAGTAAGGGATATACAAAAACCAGATAATGTCCCCGAAAGAGCTCTACGGGTTTCCCGCTGTTCATAACAGGCGAATATGTTTCAACACAGCACTCCTAACACCGTGCTCAAGAGCCAGCTACTGCTCCATCTGATCTGCCATCTCCTCGTCCAGCTCATATGCATCTGCGGCGCGCAGCGTTTGGGACATGGCAATGTCAAGAAGCCAATCTACCCGGACTATCCGTGGTGT